TTATTTTAGGATCGAAAACACGTTGTCACATTACTTTTCACAAACGGCTGGAGCGGTGAGAGACCAGAGAGGCCTGAGGAGTCTTCTACACCTCTGTTCTCTCTCTCTCTCTCTCTCTCTCTCTCTCTACGGTCCATTTTGGACAGTGAAGTGCAAGATTCTTCTCCCTACGTCAAGTTTAAACCGTCCGAATCTAGAGAATGATGCAGTTATCGGTGTTAAGGCCTGGGGCAAAGTCTCTCCTGCAGTAAAAGCAACATAAAAGATCGGCTTTAACAAAGAGACTCTGGACTCCAGCTCCACACGAACTCTACACACTGCGGATCCTTTTAAAACAGCCGTAATAACAGACTCACACAGAGATCACACATTAGGAGAGCGTCAATCTTTATTCAACTAATGTCTTTCTGAATGTCCGATCATGCAGCTAAAGTAGTCGCGGAAGCAGGTCCCTCCCTCAATGTGAATATTCCCAGAGGTTTCTCACTTTTTCCCACAGTGTTTTTTCACTAGGCCCCATTTATAAAGAAACGATGCTGTTGGGTTTGGGTTTGCTCTGCCTCCCCCCTCCCTTTTTGTTTGTTTCAGGGCATGTGTGTGACTGGGGGCGTGGCTGGCTCTGCAGCAGGTGTGTGGGCTCACACGATGACCTCAGCACTTCCTTTGGACATGCGCAGAAGCTTACACAAAGTAGGATTCTACTCCTCCGTTCAAACCAAACCACAGCTGTAGTTTCAGTTTTGCAGCTGCTGTTAAATGCAGAATGATGTTGGTTCTTTCCCGTCTTTGCCGCGGCCTGAGGAGGATGTTGTTGAGGAAGTGGTTCTACTGCTGGGATTCGCATGTGTCCTGTTGTAAAGTTCCATTGCCCCCTACTGGTGCTAGAACTACACGAGATTCAACCACATTTATGGACATTGGTCTCTGCCCGACATGGACCAATGACTCTATGTAATTTTTATCATTGCATTTCTTGATACTAATTCAAGGGGAAAATATCTTGTATAAACCTGTATCAACAGACAAGATAACAAAAAGGAAAAACCTGTCATTTACATGTACTGTTAATTACAGTAAACAGTACTTTACACTTGCTTCTTTATCCTGCTAAGGTCAGATATGTGGTGCTTAATTCTTGCCTCTTATTATAGATTATAGACTGCTTTCATATTATGTTAAAGCTAGTGAATTTGTTATGGTATTTTATTTAGTAAAGAGTGTAGTATATAGCTGTTTTAATTTACCTTGCTCCTCCACTGTTCTCTAACTGGTGACGCAACACTGAACTTTCCCCACTGTGGGACGAATAAATGATCTCTTCATCTCTAACTGGTTCCTACAAAGTTTGCTGCTGAACCGTGGCGTTAAAACATTAAATATGCATTTATGTGTTTGCAACCACCAACCGTGAGCTAAATGTTATCGCACATTACGCAGAAAGAAACGAACCATACCAGATAATAACAAAACAACTTAAAGTAGAGTTGCCTTCAGCTAATGGGGTTTCCTGGGAATCCACTTTGACAAAGCACCAGCAGACGTAAAAAAATCAAATGTGCATGACCTGTACAACCATGAAGGTTTGTAAATAAAGAGAATGGGGAATTGGGGAAATACATATAAAACTAGAACTAATTATTTTCATTTGTTGCAGTAAAAGGCTTTTAGACTGATCATATGTGTGCCATGTGACTATACTTGTCTCCCATTGTTTTTCATTCACAAATACTGAAGTTCTAAAACTTGTACATGGCTAAGTTCATGTGAGGAGTTAAAAATAACTTTACGGGTTATGTTTACTGAGAGGCAGAGTCTATATCATTTAAGGGGAGTGTGTATGTTTAATAGACCACATGTAAGAACTACTTTAAGAGAACATTGTTTATCCAGTAAACCAACTCATTGAAATGTAACTGTTTTATAATCCGTAATTTTATGAAATTGTGTGTGACTTTTTTATAATATGTATGTAACTGTTTTATAATCTGTAATGTATGTAAATATATGTAACTTTTGTCCAGCACTCCCTTGAAAAAGAGGTGCTTAATGTCAATGGGACTTTCCTGGTTAACTAAAGGTGAAATAAAAAAGGTGTTAAAGGTATATAGAACCATCCAACCAACTTTTTGAACAAAACTCTCTGGTCTGATTTGACGAGCACATATCACCAGAATGATTGACTATTACAAGGACCAATAGTCTTGATGATCCACCCGGAAGTAGAAAATCCTACTTCTACTTCTCTATTTCAGTTCAAAAAATATTTCAAGAAAATAAACGTGTTGTGATTTCTTGTTTAGTGTGATTTTTTACAGTACCAATGTTTGTCAAGGACCTGAAAGTAAATTGATAATTTTGTCATTATGTTATGGCCTTTATGCCCACCGCTGTCAGACTGTACAATAAGACTCAGTCCTATAGTGCACTCGGACTGCACTATAGGACTGAAAAAACCTATTGCCACTCTTTCTTTTATTGCCACTTTTTATTGTACATAATTATATCCTTGCATACGTCTTTTGCACAATCTGAGTGATTCCATCTGTACATTTCTCCAGTGTGAGATCAATAATATCTTATATTATGTTATTGTGTTTGTTTTGATTTCAACTGGAATGACTGTGAATGACCAAACGACAGTACATGAAAATGAAAGAGTAACGAGAGGATGTCGTTCTGTTGATGACCACAAGGGGGCAGTGCCAAACCACCGGTCCTGATCCCTGCGGCCTGTAGGAACAAGGATTTAGATCCCACTACACAAATTCAGCTTGGCGTGACTTCAGTTCAGGCCCATTCTTTACGTTTCAAGCCTTTTGGGAGATAACAGGCAATTTGTGTGAGTTTGTGATCGTCTTTATCCAACCCACTCTCTCAGAAAACTGTGTAATAGTCACATTGGTCCACCTCTTAAACTGTGAGAATACCACAGTTTGGGCTCTGAAACTGTGGCACTCTTACATATTTTATTGCAATGTTATTCTACGGGAGTCACGTGACCACACCGTTTCCTGCGAGGGAGGAAATAAAAATGGCCGACATTTCTCATAATTATAGTCCAAAACTGCGGTTTATAGCATTATTTAGAGACTAAAGTCAACTTATTTCACAATTTTGAGCGAGAAATATACACTTGTATTTCGTTATTTTTAAATAAAATGGTCCCTAATGGCTTCATTTACGAAATTGAGCGATCTTTTTTTTGGTCCCTTAAAAATATGTGTTATTGTTACAGTTCGCCATAATAACACGTAGATCTTCGCCCCTCAAAAACAATTGTGATTTCAAATTTGACCATTTGACTACCCTTGTACAGAATGCTCGTGCGTGGTTACCTTCAATCGTATACATTGAAAATCACGTAAATCATCAATTTTGATAGATCCGTTCCGTCTGAAAATGTGCTATTGTTACAGTTCTGATGCCGGCGTCGCTCCTCATTGGTCCATCCCCAAGCTGTAAGAATACCACAGTGCACTGTAACTGTGGTACTCTTACAGATTTGTTTTATAATATTCTATGGGAGTCACGTAACTACACCATTTCCTGCGAGGGTGGGAATTAAAACATCAGAATCAGAATCATTTTTATTGCCACGTAAGTAACAGGAAGTCACAAACTTGAAAACATGACCAACATTTGTCATAATATCACCGACAACAGTGATTATTCTTAGGATTAGGGATCTTTTTGTGTCCCTGAAAATAGTTATTGTTGAATATCGCTCAGTGATCACAGCGTTCACCGCGTTGCCATGACGACACGTCCGTTGCGACGAAAATGACGTTGGGATCATGTGTCTGTCTGTATAATTAAAATAAAAACCTTACAAGATTAAATGATGTGTTTTTAAACTGATAAGAATATTTCCACATTCTTTAAACAGGTTTAAGTCGATATTATGGCCAAAGCGGTTATGGAGGAAGTAAAGTATTATTTGAGAAAAATTACGTAAATACCTTTTTGTAAATTTTGTGCAGGACCCCACCTAGTGGAGTGTCAGGGTAACAGCAAGTCTACAGAACCTCCAAGGTTATGATCAAAAATGGTTTTATACTGTATATGATGCAGTGTACATTATCAAGACGGCGCAGTAGGTATGAATACATGTTTTACAAAGGTAACTTTTTAATGCTTAACACAACTCACAACCAAACTATAGAACACAAACTTTTAGATTACAGAAAGGTCACAGAAGCAGAGGTAATGTAGCCGCTGGAGCAGCACAGATCACAGCAGTAGAGGTGGTGTAGCTGCTGGAGCAGCAGAGGTGGTGTAGCTGCTGGAGCAGCACAGATCACAGCAGTAGAGGTGGTGTAGCTGCTGGAGCAGCAGAGGTGGTGTAGCTGCTAGGTGGAGCTGCATCCTATCCAGCTTGTTTCAGATAATTTTCTCTGCTCTGAAGTGGGCTTCCATGTCAGCGCACTGAACCTAAAAGAGAAAATTATAAAACAATATTTATTTTTTGGCCCCCTATTTAAGTAATTTCTGAACTTTTGTTATTGTTCTTGTGTTTAATGTTTTACTACAATATTCAATATATTCAGTGTAATTGCTCAAAAGAAAAAGTAAATATACATACCTTCTACTACCCCTCAAGCTCTTCGTCCTCCCCCTCGAGCTCTTCATCCTCTTCAGATGAAGAGCTATTTATCCACTCATCGTCGTCAAATTCTGCACTCTGTCCTTCCAAAACCCTCCTGTACAAACTTCTTGCAGCATCTTGCTGCTTCTTTAGTTGGTCTAGCCTTTTCTTAATAACAGACTGAAGTCCATCATGTCCATCCACTGGACAGCCTTGCGATCCTTACATTACAAATATGTATAGTTATTATTTATTTGTTGCATACAAAATATAAGAGATTACCTTCTGTATTATTAAGCAGCTCTCGGAGAGAGCCAGCTGCCTTTTTCATAAAACCCCAATGCTGCTTTATCTCATGAACAAGGATAATTTCCTCTTCCTGGAATCTGTCCCGAAGCATGACCTGGTCAAAGACCTTCTTCTTTTCGACACTTAATCCAGAGCCTAAGAAGAATTACATTGTAAACAGAAAGTGAGTAGCCATAACAACAAAACATGAAGTGAATGTGTATTTGTTATATCATACATCCCCAGGGCCAAGAGTAGTGGTCCTCAGCCAGAACTTCATTTGCAGAGGGAAGAGGAGTTTTCCCATTATACTCTCCAATGGCCTCCTCCAGCTGAACCTTCTCCTGGGCAATCTTTCTCCTCTGTTTCTGACGGCCTTTGTTTCCAGCTAGAAAAAAAATCTTCATTTACAATGGATACCTTCACACAAAGCGAATAGCTAGTTTGCAAATAGCCATCTTACTGCTCTGGCGATATAAATAATATTTTCTCTGCTTGATGCTGAGATACAGTGCCTCAATGGTGGATTGAAGCTTGTTGGGGCATGAACTTGCCTCTTTGAGATGTTAGAAATAATGAAAAACATCAGACTAAAAGAAGAAACAAGCATATTCATTGAAAATGTATTTTACCTGTACTCCACTGCTGGACGTCAGATACCCATTGGGCTATAGTTTCTTCAGTTAGACCACATTCATGAGCCAGCTTGCTGAGATCCACAGAAGTTTCCTTTTTCCTGAGTGATGTCTATGAGAATTCATAGTTGTCTTTATCATCATTATTATTATTCATATTAATAATAGAAAAAAATATTCAAACTTTTTGGTATCTTTTTGCAAGAGACTTATGAAGATTTTCTGCCTTCCTCTTGTTCCAGCCAATGGCATGGACAGTGAGCATATCAGTGCGGGCTTAAGGAAATGCATGAAATGTTAAAAAAAAGATATTTGGTATTAACAAAGGAAAGATGTTACCTGCTTTGCTCATGTACTTGGTACAAAGAGCTGCACGTGATAAGAAGCTATTGACCTGCTCCACTTCCTCTCCGATTGTTGCCCCAGCTCCAGCTTGATTGCGACCACCCCACTCAAGCTGAAAAAACCATAATACATTTAGTTTAAATATAGATGTTTTGAATGTAGGCTTAATTCAAATTACCTCACACATCCATGAATGTGCCTTTGCATGCATAATCGATAGGAAAGGTCGCATGTTGGTAAGGTTGTCCAACTCTGGACAGTGCTGGACCACCCTTTTCAAATAAGGCCAATATTTGCAAATTACATCCATACAGAAGAACTTGGCATCTGGAAGTTCTTTTTGTAAAAAGAGGGGATATGCAAATATTTCTCCCCTAAACATATTGAGCCCTAAAAGAAAGCCATGGCGGCAAACAGCGACCTCCATGCCTTCTTCATCAATTTTGGATGAGCTCTTTCTACATGTTTCTCTGGCGGCTGACCATTGGCTCGAGCCACATCTTCCCTTTGCACTATACTGGAGATAATAGTCATTATTATAATCATTATAAGAAGTATACATGCTATACATTTTATTGGAATGCAAGAATAATGACAACATACATGTCTTGTTGCAGCATGCACCTGGTCCACAAATGAAGCCACATCCTCATCCTTAGCCAGGAAGACACCATCATAGAGACCGCTTTGCCTGAGAAGAAAAATATACAGATAGGGGCAGAGAGTTCCAAACCATGACATCTAATGCTGTATTTTTTTCAATGCTTACACAGAGGAAGATTGGCCCTTGAATCGGTACAATTTCCGATTTCCATCGACTGCAACAGCCAACATTGATGGTGTGCAGGCTGGACATTTAAATAGAGGCACATCAAGTACAACATCTATGAGGTACTGTGCATAGCTCCACTCTGAAAAGGCCCTTTGAAGAGCCTCTCCAGATATTTTACCACTCTGTTGACAAAGACAAATGCAAATGTGTCTTTAAGAAGAAGTTGGTATAATGTGTATGTGAAAGTATTAATGAATGAATAATAAGCCTTTATTACAGACTCATGGTCCATCATTGACACACAAAAAACAATGTTGGGCAATAGGCAATAACAAAATATCTCAAGTTTTACATTTCACAGGTCCTCCTCAAGGTTTCTCATATTTTTCCCAATAGGTTTTAGAGTTATCCCGTGCTGGTGCAGAAGGCCTGAGGACAGTGATGACCCAGGACTGGTAGATATATCTGGACATAAAATGTATTTTGTGTAACGTCCTTCGAAACTGTTGTTGCCATGATTTGGGCGTTACAAAAATAAATCTAATACAATTGAATTACAAACAAGACTTTTTATGGATATCTTTGAGAAATGGCTTTCTTCTTGCCACTCTTCCATAAAGGCCAGATTTGTGCAGTGCACGACTGATTGTTGTCCTATGGACAGACTCTCCCACCTCAGCTGTAGTTATCTGCAGTTCATCCAGAGTGATCATGGGCCTCTTGACTGCATCTCTGATCAGTCTTCTCCTTGTTTGAGATGAAAGTTTGGAGGGACGGCTGGGTCTTGGTAGATTTGCAGTGGTCTGATACTCCTTCCATTTCAATATATCAATTGCTTGCACAGTGCTCCTTGAGATGTTTAAAGCTTGGGAAATCTTTTTGTATCCAAATCCGGCTTTAAACTTTTCCACAACAGTATCTCGGACCTGCCTGGTGTGTTTCCTTTGTCTTCATGGTTCTCTCTGTGCTTTAAACAGAACCCTGAGACTATCAAAGAGCAGGTGCATTTATACGGAGACTTGATTACACACAGGTGCATTCTATTTATCATCATCAGTCATTTAGGACAACATTGGATCATTCAAAGATCCTCACTGAACTTCTGGAGTGAGTTTGCTGCACTGAAAGTAAAGGGGCCGAATACTATTGCACGCCCCACTTTTCTGTTTTTTATTTGTTAAAAAAGTTAAAATTATTCAATAAATTTCGTTCCACTTCACGATTGTGTCCCACTTGTTGTTGATTCATGACAAAAAATTTAAATTTTATATCTTTATGTTTGAAGCCTGAAATGTGGCGAAATGTTGAAAGGTACTTTCGCAAGGCACTGTATTTTCTCAAAAAGCCCCGTTTCCACCAGCCCTGCTTGTCTATACTCTGCCCTTATTGGGAGTGTTTCCTCTGGTCCTGTGTAACCAGTACCAGGTTCTTCTTTAGTCCCTCTTGGTCCTGGTTATATCCAGGCTGAGCTGGTACTAAAGTGTTCTAACGGACAGTGAATGGTCAGAGTGCTGCTGAAAGCCATTGCTACCAAGGAACTTCGCCAATTCTGGTTTGTTGTGTGGGATGGTACCAAAAAGCATAATGACACACAACAATGTAGAGTAGGGCCAAGTAGGGCTGGTGGAAACGGGGCTATTGATTGTGATTATGAGCACGGATTATCTTTCGTTTGTCATGTAATCGGACTATGAGGAGCACAGGGACTAGCCTCCTGCTGGGACTCTGAGGAGCACAGGGACTGGCCTCTTGCTGGGAGTCTGAGGAGCACAGGGACTGGCGTCCTGCTGCGACACTGAGGAGCACAGGGACTGGCCTCATGCTGGACCCAGAGTCAGGACTAAACATGGAGAGGCAGCATTTCACATTTATGCAGCTAAAATCTGGTACAGTTTTTCTGAAAATGTGAGAAAACATAAGGAAATACAGTTGGAATCCCATGGGACATTAAAAGCAGACAATAAAATCATAATTGTAATTGAAAACATTGAAACATTAAAATCACACAAAGGTTATAAAATCCTAAATAATCACAGTGCATTAGAAATAATAAACTTGCCTTGCCTTGAATACCCCAGACTTTCAATACTGTAACAACCAGATGAAAGCAAGGAAATAGGTTCACTGTTTTGGCGAATGGAATGTGGACCGGATCATTCTACTTTCTTCTTGGTACACTTTCTGTATTCTGCAGGTAAACAACTCGATCCACGTGAACTCGGTGGACGTTCCCGACGGTGACCTGATGGCCACTAACGGCGTGGTGCATGTGGTGAAGAACGTCCTGTATCCCGCCGGTGAGTGGCGCTTCTCATGTGGAAGAAGTTTTGGTTTTGGGTCATGATACAGAGCGTGTTGTTGGCAGACCTCCCGGTGGGCCGCCAGGACCTGCTGCTGCTGCTCAAGAAGCTGATCAAGTACATCACTATCAAGGTGAGCTCTATGGAAGCTGCTATCATGAAGAAACACCTGCAAATATATACAACACACTGCAGAAAGTGATGGAAAATAAGTCAGAAATGGCTCAAATTTGGAAAAAATGTATCATATCAAATGTATGTATAAAAATTTTCTCAAAACAAGATTTGGCAATGGGACAAATCTAGTTTTTAACACAGTCAGAATGTGCAACAATTAAGATTTATTATTTTTGCAGTGTAATAATGAAGAAAAACATCTGTCAGTTCAGTTTATTCTACATGCAAATATATGTGTTCATAAATAATAAGCCTATGCATTATTAAATGATATCTTAATAATATCTTGTTTTTTAAATTTGAAGTTTCAAGCTGGATTTTCATACACGGAAATCCCATTGACGTTCATCAGTAAGTATATACTATATATACAAGTGCAAAAGTACTATTACTATTATTGTTTCATGCTTAAGAACTCGATAAATACAGGATCAATAATTTCCTTCTCTATTTCAGAAAGGACGATCACAACCACACACTACATTGAAACAGGTAAAAACATTTTTTATTATTATCATTTTTACTGTTTTAGCCTCAGACCTGGAGCCACAAACTTAAGGCTTTCTATCTTTCCATTGCTCTTATAAATAGAGTACAGTTAGTCTGATTTTAAGTCCTCATTTTCAATAATTAGACCTTTGTTTTGATCCAGGACAGAGTTCTTGGACCGAGTTTGAAATTTGGTGTCAGTCCAGAGGTAGATTTACACAAAGACACAAAGACAGAAACTTTTAGTATCGAGTGACATTGGAAAGACACGCTTTACTTCCTCACAATTGATTGGTCTGTTACGCTGATTACCCGCTGAAAACGAGAACGTCCAAGATTCAGTTTTGTTCAACCAGATATGTTGTTGTGCCAACCACTCAGGCACTCAGGGTAACTTTAAAACCACTACCAAAATGTAACTATGAGACAAAATCCATGAATCTAGTTCCTTTCGCTCTCAAAACAGTGAAAATGTGGCCATACTTGCATGTAAAAGCCAGATTCGGACCTCTGAAGCTAAGCAGGGCAGGGAATGGTTAGTACTGTGATGGGAGAGCTCTGGGAACACCAGGTGCCACAATGAGGCGGCTGCTGCTGTAAAGTACCAAACTATTGTCGTGTCCTTAGGCAAGACACTTCACCCACAATGGAACGAGTCTGGTGTGTGTGTGAATGGTTGGTGGTGGTCGGAGGGGCCGATGGTACAGACTGGTTGCCTCGCTTCTGTCAGTGTGCCCCAGGGCAGATGTGGCTACTGTAGAAGTTTGTCACCACCGTGTTTGGAGTGAATGAATAACGACATGTGAAGCGTCTTTGAGCGTCCAGAAAAAGTGCTATATAAAGCCAACATATTGTTATGATTAAAAATAGAGGACCACCCTCTCTCAGCCAATCAGCTCTCAGCCCAAAGAGTCAAACTGTGACTCACAGGGCTTTTTCTCACAAATTCTATTCAATATAGTCTTGTTTTGCCCTAAATCACAACAGTAGTTATCTCAGAGGACTTAAAAACTTTTTCGAAATTGCTGTTACTAATTTCGCCAACGCAGATCAGAGAATCAAACAGTTCAAACAAAACACACAGAGCCATTGGTTTATAAGGGGCAGCAGGCCAAAGTCCAGAAATGACACACAGTGTCCTGGACTTATATTTTTATTTTTTTTCATCTGTCGTCCCAGGGCAGGTTGATGCTACATCCATCAACAAACAAAAAGAGCAACTGTTATTTAAAATTAACATACAAACATAAAAAGCATAAAAAAGAAGATTAGTAAAAACAGCAACATAAAAACATAAGAGCATTGCACAAACATGAAACAAAGACGTTGACAAGGACATTAACAAAAATGCAGAAGTGATTAGTCCACACTGTGACTGCAGATTTGACTGTTCATGGGCTACAGTTTGAGAAACACGGTGAAGGTTCTCAGTGTTGGGATGTTCCTGATGTGAGTTGGAACTATCACCACCAGTGTTTGCATAAAATAACAAGTTTTTAATGGTAATTTTATGTAAAATCAAAATAGATCAAAATATTACCTTACCAAACTTCTTTGGGACAAACAACATCAATACTATTTATGAAACTGTAAAGTGTGGTGAAGAGTCTATGAGCTGCAGATCTGTCTCTCATTATCAGACAAGGCCAAGTTTGAGAGAAACTGGAGCCAGAGACGAGAAACGCTCTGATGCAAGCTGCACATATGCAAGTCTTCATGTTTCTACAGCACAGAAAAATGACTTATGCCAGGTGCTTTTCTCAAAATTCACTCTTTGAAATTAGCAACACATTTCAGCATTGACCAGCGTCATGGGTGAGTTATTTTACAGGTCTCGAGCCAAAATGGAGGAAGACAGTCGTAGCATTGATGATGAAGTGAATGTGGTTTGAAAAGAATGACATTGAGTTTGAATTAACCCATAAACTACAACAGATACTAGGCCTCAGTTCATTCAATGTATTTTTGTTTTGCCCTAAATCACAACAGCAGTCATCCCGAAGGACTTTACTAATTGGTCGATTCACCGACAACAGATCAGAGAATCAAACTCATAGGTGCCATTGGCCAATATTTTCATCTGTAATAAATTAATATCTATGTCCATACTGCACAAACAACAAAAGAGATTATTTGTGGTCAGTGTGGCCTACAATACATACATATGGAAGCCCGTTTCCGCCATGTAAAAAAAAAAAAAGCATACAGAAAGTCAACATTTTGAATTTAAAAGTCAAAATTACGAGTTTTAAAAGTCAAAATTTCGACTTTAAAAGTCAACATTACGAGTTTTCAACTGCACATGCGCAGTTGAAAACTCGTAATGTTGACTTTTAAAGTCGAAATTTTGACTTTTAAAAGTTGTAATTTTGAGTGTTGTTGTCTGGAACGGTCTCTGGACATCCTTCACCTGCAGATTATGTGAAGATATTGCCTACAGTGACCACTGCATCCATGAAGTAACCAGAAATAATGTTGTTTGATTGATTCTGTAAAACTTTCCTGTTTAAGCCCCAGACCGCGGTCGTAGGACGCAGGGAGGAGCTGTCTTTTTATTTATTTATGTTAAATTCAATTTACATATATACAACATTTAAATCAAACGACTTCTTATTTCGACATAGTAACAAATAATGTGAGCAATATGTTTTTATAATAAATCAAAGGAAAATGAGCCATCGAGACATTCCAATCCAATCTGCTGTAGACCACTCTGACCAGACGATGGCGCTGAGAGGGGTCCACACGGAGCGAGTCTTTCCACGGCTAAAATGATGCGCTTTCTACGTGTTGAGTACAGGGTTTTATTCATGCATCTATAATGGGTTTAACTCCCTTTTCAAAGACCCTCACTGTTATCTGCGGAGTTATTTCTCCGGATTGTTGCTTAAAGAGTCGTGGGCTTTATTTTGTCACAATAAAATAATCAGACAAGGTGATTATTCCCTAAATGTTCCTGTGTTCTTGCTCATACGCCAACAACTTTACCCTCACGCTCGCTCCATCAGCTCACCCCAGAGCGCGCTCACGTTTTGGCCGCGTGCACGCAAACACGTCGCATGCTTTTCAATGCACTGATCGCAATTCCAAAAGGTTTAATATTGTCAGTGCCCGTGACTGTGGTTCTCCTGCCTCTGTCTGCGGACTTCCCTCACTGTCCAGTAACGTGAACGGTCTCTGTCAGTCACAATATCATTCACTGCATTTCTGGTGCATCCATCGATAGCCGTGATACTGACCAGATGTCACCAGTTGATGCTCAATGACTTTGAACAGCCGCATGTGTTTTATTAATCTTCCACAGTCCGTTTAGGACAAACTAAATAGAGGCTTCTGAAGCGGATTCTAATCATAAACGGAGAGACTGTTTGCATTTTAACGCGATTACTACCACAACATTATTGCTGCTACTTCATGGATGTGGTCACTGTCTGTAGGCAAAATCTTCACATAATCTGCAGGTAGAGGATGACCCATGGTCATGGATCTATAATAGGGGTGACCAGAGACCGTTCCAGACAACAATACATACGAGTTTTCAACTGCACATGCGCAGTTGAAAACTCGTAATTTTGACTTTTAAAGTCAAAATTTTGACTTTTAAAGTCGTAATTTTGACTTTCTGTAGGCTATTTTTTTTTTTTACATGGCGGAAACGGGCTTCCATACATACATACACACATACATACACATGTCAAAAAACACAGATATGGTATAGGACAAAACAAAACAACACATACAGTATATACAGGTCCAAACACTCTCTGATCCTACATCCCTCTCTCCCCTCCATGTAATTCTGTTTATACCAGTCCTGTTTTCTAACTAGTGATAGACACACACTGTTATGCTAGCTACCTATTCATTTGATTACACAGCTAAAATGTTTCTGGCTCAAAAATTACACACCCCAGCTTTAACACACAGTTGTACATTTTGAGAGTAATCATCAAAGAAAGTTGGAGGAGTTTGAATCTGGCAACCACAAAAACTATAATATTTCAAGCTAACAAGGTTGAAATCGGGCACACTAGGAGGCTGATTATTCACAGCAGTCTCCCAGAAGCCAAAGAGAAAAGAAAAGTACTTTGAGTCAGATGACAGTATTCCAAAGGGCGGGACCACAATGAGCTCACTGCTGCTGCCTCTGGATTCTGATGTTGCCACTAACTCAATCCGATTAACTACAGACTCCTGCGCAATTAACAAAGACAGTCTCTCACGACAATAAAGCACAACTAAAGTCTTTATATAATTACTTTTTGAAACCAAAACCAAATGGACTACGGACTACACTGCAAAAAATGATAAAATGTGAAATCATAATTGCTTGAATTTAGTGTTTTTTATTTTAATTTGAGCACATTACGATTGACCAATGGGACAAAGCCATTTAGTCTTATTTCAAAAACTGTTGCATTATTTTCTCATTCCAAGGGAGACATTTCTGTATCGTTTTAAAACAAGATCCTTTTGCTTTGTCCCATTGGTAAAACTTGTTAAGGCTGGTGGTCAAGCTACAGATTAAGACACATTTTGCCAAATTTGAGCCATTTTTTACCCATTTTTCATCATTTTTGGAAGTGTAGTTGTTGCCATTTTGCAAGTTTTTGTTTGTGACTAAAAGTCCTTCACTGGGAAAGTACTGGAATCAAAAGCCAAGCTCATAGAGGAGTGTGTAGAAGCATTGTTTATTCATGGCTTTTAGCTTTGTGCCTCATGCATTACATTTTAAAGTTAGGTAAGTTTAGTAGATTTTCAGATATTCTAGTGCTGTATACAGTGCTCCTACACAGACTTTTCAGATCAGCTGATCTAAAACACTTGGAGATAGATGCAGTCTACATAAGGTCCTGTATCTCGCTCTTCTTCACCTTTCACGGTCCTTCTTGAGCACATGTGTGATAATAATTTGAGTGATGCACCATACAACATTGAAAACTCTCTGCTCCTTTCCCTGTGAGTCCACCTCACTGGGGAACAAATTTGTCATGGATATTATGAATAAAGTCCAGCCACATTCGCCCCATTCTTTGTCTTCGGGCCAAATAGTGTTGTCACATGTTTACACCCAAAAACTCCAAGTTGACATGATGCTAACACTTTCGGTCAGCGTCAATAGCAGAAAAACAGCTGATGTGAAGCGAACACAGACTGGTAGACGCAGGACTAGGGAGTTTTCTCAACTGTCAATCAACTCCTGGGGGCGGGCTTCTACGGCTTGTTTTGCTGCCTCTTGAGAATGAAAGAGAAAGATTGCTCTCTAACTAAAGCTTCAGGGAATTAGAAAATAAACGACTTTGGATATGTATATGAAGGCCAAATAGCACTGTAAATGATGTTTAAAGCATAGAAACGACGAAAAGTGTAATAGACCTTTAAATTAGGTACATTCTGTAGGTCCATCCATCCATCCATTTTCTTCCCCTTAATCCATTTCTGGGTCGGGGGGGTGGCAGTCAGAGCTGCACCCAGTACACTTAGCACCAGCCCCTCACTGATCCTCCTGCAGCTGGTGAGTCCACAGGAGCTGAGATCTTTCAGTGGGAGCTTCAGGCAAAGGGAGATACATTCTGTAGGTATTCAGACAAATTTAGTGTTATAAATGTACAGTGCTCCTATACAGCAAACAACACAACAACAAAAACACACACCCTTCAAGCCCAACAAGAAAAGCTTAAGTCCTGTATCGCAGACCACAGCAGGAGCGAGAACCTTCTCATGGACTGAATCAATGCCATACACTTTCCCACAAGTCTAGTTGGACAGGGAGAAAATATGAATCTGGAAAGGCGCCCAGCAGACTGTCAACCAGGATGATGGGCCATAACAACTGTACCGCACCAGTCTGAAATACAAAAGCTGATCCAGGCCCAAGAAGCAGATTGGCCAAACACATGACTTCAAGATTTCCTAAATTGCCAGGACTGTATTTATATATAAGAGAATGAGATAATTGTTCTCATGTTTCTTGTTGAGGAGATCCAGATGACTATCGCAGGTCAGGCTGAAAATTAAATTCTAAAATTGTTCACTTTCTGGAGTCTTTGTGCAAAACTAATTGACGGATGACAATTACTTGGCTAAAAATGTACAAGTATACAGTAGTTCTCCAAAAAAGGCAATTACCCAATAACTTGAATGAGGACGAAAGAGTGCCAGATACACATCAGCATGTGGTTGTAACACTCGTGGGCCTGAACACAGGAGACCCTCAGGGCTGTGTTTTATCACCCATTTAGTTTTTCCATCTACACCAAGAGAGGAATTGGATCATCAGGAGATCAACCTGGAGTAGTCGTAGTAGATAGACAGATAGATAGATAGATAGATAACAGATAGACAGACAGATAGATAAACATATAGAAAAATGAGGAGAAATTCAGGTGTCCAGCAGCAAATCCATCCATACAAACAAATAAATACTTCATTCCATTGTTAGCGACTATCAATAGTAAGAAAATGCAGCAGCACTTCAGGTCACAGCAGCAGAGGTGGAGTAGCCTCTGGTGATGAGCTGCTTCCCATCCTCCGGTTGATGTCTGCTCTGGTTCAGAGTGAATTTCTGGATGCTTTATTATATTTTTTCTATAAAGACATATTAAGGACTTGCTGCCGTTTCCAGTGCATTCAAAAGTTCAAAAGCACATTCAAAAGTAGTAGCAGCAGCAGTGGTAGTGCAAGTGATAGTAGTAGTAGTAGTAGTAGTAGTAGTAGTAGTAGTAGTAGTAGTTGTAATTCGTGAACCTCTCCCACCTCTGCTCTCTCCAGAACCGGACATGACCAAAGTGATAAGAGTGATCGAGGGAGAACCTTCCATCACCAAGGTAACGAGGGTGATTGAAGGAGAGCCGTCCATCACCAAGGTAACGAGGGTGATTGAAGGAGAGCCGTCCATCACCAAGGTAACGAGGGTGATCGAGGGAGAGCCGTCCATCACCACGGTAACGAGGGTGATTGAAGTAGAGCCGACCATCACCAGGGTAGGGATTCAACCGAGGGTCATCGAGACGGAGCCAATGGTCACTGAGGTCCGTGTCGAGACTGATCCGATCCACGTGACCCGTCGGATCGAAGGGGACCCCAGCTTCACCACGGTTACCAGAGTCATTGGAGGCAAGTCTACCACACTTTTCACCCTTACCCAGGCCCCATTATGTAATATCCCATTTAGTTATTGTTTTTTTATTTGTTTTTTATTTATTTAAGGACAATAAAAAAATCAAGAAACAACAGAAAAAAACAAAGCAAGGACAAACGGGACAAAAAAAAGACACCAAATAAAAAAATAAAAAAAATAAAAAATAAAAACAGACATGACAAAGTATTTTTCACGTTCACACAAAAACTAAAATGTGTTATAATCAGATAATAATACATACTTTCAACCGTCCAAAAAACAAACTCTAAAGTCTGTCTATACCTCCAAACAGTTTTCACATTTCAGTTTCGCCAAAGACTATGTGTTATTTGTGACCCCAAAAGTAAAATTAACCAGCTAAAATGTATTGTTAAAATGAAAATGTTGGTGTTAGAACTTTCATGAAGTTTATATATGACGTTCTTCCATTGGTCTAAATGATAATGTGTTCATTCTTTCTCTCTTTAAAGGGGACATACAGAAAACTCTTACAGGTGAGTGTTCAGATATTTTGTCCTTGTGTGCATCAGCAGGGTGTCCTAAGGGGCCTGTACCTGATTTGTAACCGGGAGTTGTTTTTAGATCTATCCACGCTAATGTCAGGGACTTCTGGCATAAATATGTAACTCCGCCCCTTCTGTTTAAGTCCTGTAGTAGTGTGTTGTCATTGTACCTCTATGACATCACACTCAAAGCAGATTTCTTCTTTTAAAAACCAAAGTATTGCCCATAAACTAGTTTTACTTATTTCTCAGGTGAAATGTCGTACTTTACGATCACACCATGTGTTTGCAGCTGGTCATTTTCCAATTTCTAAAAAATCTACTCCTACATTTTAAATTTCATAAAGGCTAAGTAAATAGTCCCATTTTAATGCTTAATGGCCAAATCGTTTCACCTTTAAACAATTTGCAGCAGAAGTCGGTGCTCAAAGAAACACATAACTTAAAATACAATGTTTTATTGCTTTTCGAACTAAAACGACAGAATACTTCCCACTACAATACAAATATATAGAAGCAGCGGCATCTTACTTTCAATATCCTATAAAAATGAATGAACTATAAAGTCTGTCTAGATCTCCAACTTTTTCACTCAAAATAAATCAGCGAAAAGACCAAACCGTGACAGGAACACCATCAGGTACCGGCCCTTTAATAACCTCCTTTTTGTTTCATGTAGAGGAGATCCAGAAGACTATTGCAGGTGACTATGGATTTATGTCTGCTCTTTCTAATGCGTATGGGGGAGGTCGGCATCAGCAGCTGTGAGGCTAAAATAGATTCGCTGTGGATTATCCGTCACACAAGCACGACTTTAGAAAGAAGGGAAGAAATACAGCTTTGAAAGATTAACCGCGTGTTTATACTGTGAATATCGGATGTGTTCAGTCTTGTAAAAACATGACATTTACAAGGAAAAGGCCAAAGAAGGTGCAGTGAGAAATGTTTCTGTTAAAGTGATAGTCTGTAACTCTAAATTAATTACAAATTTTAGGAAATGTGCTAAATTGACCTCCTGGCCTTAAATGTTGATATAAAATAAGTCATTTTATTAATTCTAATATTACGGGCAAGTCCCGCCTTCCCTGCTCTTAGCTATAGCTCAGAATCCACGGTGCCGTCGAGGTTAACCAATCGAGTCATGCCAAGGGCTGTCAATCATCGGCGCTGATGCTCGCAGCTGCGCGCATGCGCAGTTGTTTGTTTTCGCGGAGCCTCCGAATCAAGCCTCTATTAGGCTCTGGAACAACATGAAAACTAAACAAAGAATTCTGAACATCCGCGCTGAGGTACTTATGTACATACTGAACCTATATCCATAATCAGATCCTCTGCAGATGTGTCCTATAATGTGCAATTCATAATAATAGCACTTCCTGGTTTGCCGCGATCGCTTTTTTTGTGCATAAAAACATTATTTTTTTCATTAAAACGTTCACAAATAATTCTGAAAACCTCCGTGCATGTGTATTAATCATGTATATGTATAATGTGTTCTCTGATTAACATTTCAAAGTGTTACGGAAACATAGGTGTAGACCAATCAGAAAAGAAGGGGGAGGGAGCTTGCGTCGTTTTTTTCAAATCAAGTACCTCTCTGTCTCTCTTTCTGACAAACTCCAGACAATCACTTTAAAGGTTAAACCACTGTTGAAACGGAATGTTGCGAATGATCCATATCATAATGGAGATGAGTTAACGGCTAGAACTAGGTTTATCTGTTTGTAACTATGGATAATTCTGATCAAGGCAAACATATTTTGACGGATTCAATTTGATTTATTTTTGTATAGCCCTAAATCACAACAGTTGTAGTCACGGAGGACTTGTTGCTGCTTCGCCAACACAGATAATTAGATAATCATTAGGTTTGAATAGAGGAAATGCAATGATAACAAACATATAAGAGCCATTGCTTCATAGGGAGTGGATTTACCAATGTCCAAGGTCCTCAGACCCTCATGCATCACCAAGGAATGACTAAAAAACCCAAAAGGAAAAGGTAAGAAACCTCAGGTAAACCCACCTTGAGAGACGAATCTTCTCCCACGGACGGACAGACTATAGATCCAAGATTTGAGATGGTGACGAGAAGATGGTGGACCCCAGAGAAAAATAGGACTAACACAAAGACGACATCAGTTCTGGACTGGGCTCAATAATGTCCAAGTTAATTATCACAAATTGAGGTATGTGTGGTTGGGGTTGAGTCCCCTGCCTTCGACCACTGTTCAGTCCTTTCTGCACTCAACCCCCATGGAACCGTCTGCGGGGTGGGCCACAGGAGGCAACCCACCCAACCCATGACGTGGCCCCAGGGTGAGGGTTTGGGATGAAGAGGAAACTGAGGTGAAAGGCTTAAGCTTTGGGTAATGACTGAAAGGACGAGATCGCAGATACAAATGGTCCACATGAGTTCCCTCTGCAGAGTGGCTGAGGGCTCCTTTAGAGATAGGGAGAGGAGCTCAGTCACGTGAAAGGAGCTCGAGTAGAGCCGCTGCTTCTCCACATCTAGAGGAGCCAGTTGAGGTGGCTCAGTCTTGTTCCAGTTGCCTCCTGGACGCCTTGTTGAGTGATGGTCCAGGCATGTTCCACCAGAAGGAGACTAAGGAGAAGACCCAGGTCACACTGGCCTGGTCTGGCCTGGGAACACCTCAGGATTCCCCCAGATGAGCTGAAGAAGGTGCTTATGGAAAGCATGCTCAAACTGCAGTGTCCATGACTCGGCAAAGAAGAAAGTGTATGTTTTCCATGGCATAGGAAGTTATCTTTATTTAAGTTTTGCTGTACACACACTCTCACAGCTTTCGTCAACAACATTTATAGATAATTATTGACGCTTATGGACATTGGTCTCTGCCGCTTATGGACCAATGGCTCTATGTGTTTTTGTCTTTGATTTTCTGATTTGTATTTGCAACTCGACAACTTTATAATGTCCTCCGCAAAAACTTGTGTTGGGATTTAGGGCTATATAAAAATAAGTGCAGCAATAGTTTTGTTTGAGTTTTCTCTTCTCCTAAACATCATATGAAATCCCAAAGTCTAACCCTGTCCTTATCTTTTTTTTGCCGAATAAACATGTATTTGTTTCTTCACACAGAGGAGATCGAAAAGTTTGAGAAGACTCTTTCAGGTCAGGATCAAAGTGAATTGTTTTTCTTTTGTTTTAGCCAAGGTCTCAATTTTTACCATTTTTACCTCTATATTCCCAGAACCCAGTGTGACTAGAGTGGTGGTGGAGGGCGAGCCGGTGGTCACCAAAGTCACCCGAGTCGTCGCACCCTCTATAACCAAAGTGACCAGGGTGATTGAGGGTAGGTCACATGGTGCTGGAATCATTATGGATCGTTCATGGTTATGTTTGTTGACTTTTCTCCTTTCTATTTCACACACAGGAGTTGAAACACAAAAGAACACAGGTCAGTCTGGTCTAATACTATCATCTAATATCATAAATGTGGCTCATGGTAAAACTAAACTAACTCAAATTGCTTGAATCAGTTTCATGTGTGATCTTTCCATTGGTTTTGCATTCAATACTTTCAGACATATGGTTTTCTTTGGTGCTTCCTGCCAGACCATTATGAGTTCATACTTCGTAACTAAAATTGCTTGGAATCAGGATTGTTTTTCTTTTCTTAATGAACTCAGGGATTTCAAACTCATTTTAGGCGGGGCTGGATTTAAGGATTACTTTGATTTTAATTCGGAGATTATTTTCTGACAAACTCTGAACAAAACTACTTAATTTATTGTATGTTTGGACTGAACCAAAACTGGGTCAATGTTAAAGGATTGGCCAGTTTTTTTGTATATCTTTTAATAATCAACAAAGAATTAGAATTTAGAATAAAATAAATCATTATCCACTGATAATTGGTTTAGGTACAATACGCCATGAACGCCAAGGTTATTGACCTTGATCACCCGGATTATTTAGCAAATTGTTATGCTGGAAAAAGAATGTCTATATGACTCATGTGCCTGGATAAATGACCAGATTCAACAGGCCAAACTTTATTGCTCAAACATCCGCAGTGTGGCCGGTTTCTACCACAGATGTGTCGCCGCTGGCTCCTCCTGCAGGAAAGGAAGGTCTGGTGCATAAATAGAATAATCCACAGCAGCCAAACAAATCTGGTTCCAAAGATTCCCTCTCCCCTCAGGTTCGCCAGATTTTAAACCAGGCTCTTGACTCTTTGTGGAGATGTATAAAGTCGCCATTGGTTTGGATTCTTATTCCATATTTATTGGATACATTAGATCAGGATTTGGCCCATGGATACTTTATAGTTTCTCTATGGTTAATGCAGCTAAGCATGAAAGCTAATGTAGATAATCTCTCCATTGTCTTTCATGTGAAGCTGTACTGCAAAACTTTTCAGATGCAATTTTTTTATGAAGTAGAAATATTCCAGGATACACTTTTGGTATTCATTTTCCTAGAAGTTTCCCGCTATCAATGGTAGTCACAACTAGGTTTTCACAGTAGAGTAGAGTAGTATTTAGTAGGGTAGAGTAGAGTAGAATAGAGTAGGGTAGAGTAGAGTACACTAGAGTAAAGGAGGGTAGAGCAGAGCAGAATGTTGTAGAGTACAGCACAGTAGAGTACAGTAGAGCACAATACAGTACAGTAGAGAAGAGCAGAGTACAGTAGAGTACAGTACAGTAGAGTACACCACAGTAGAGTACAGCCCAGTAGAGTACAGTACAGTAGAGTACAGCACAGTAGAGTAGAGCTGACAGAAACTGGTCTTATAACATGGATCGTTTAAAAACTATGAATATTTGTTCAATTCAAATTAAATCTGAAACACAGCCACCATAAGCTACCCACAGTAGTCTTACATTTCTCTCAGCCAAACCTACGGACAGATTCGAACAATAGGGAGTGGGGGGGTGGGGGGTAATTAGATAAAGGCAGTATTTTGAAACTGTTTTTTTGTGTCGTCATTTGTTTAGTTGTTTCTGGTTTCGTGCTTCCATTGTATCCGATATCCTTTGGCTAAAACAAAGCCTGGTGTGTACGTAATGGCTGCTGTGTGCAATTGGACTGGTCCCCCTGGTGCATTGTGGGGGAGAGACACAAATCAACCCTGAGCCCTGGACCTCATGCAGGAGTGGAAGTGGTTTACAGTAAGAAAAAAGACTCCCTGAACTCTGACTTAGATGGTTTTAGACTTTGGTTTTATCGCTCCACTGGGACTATACAGAGAAAGTTTGAGTCTATCGCGGTTATCGATGGGCGTTAAATGTGTCCGATAGGTAGGTAGGTAGATAGATGTAGATAGATAGATAGATAGACAGATAGAAAAAACAAGAACAATATTACAAAACACATCAAAAACTGTTTCAGAGCGACTTAGGACTTTTTGCCGTTTCCAGCACAATATAAAGTTACTGAATGTTATTTGCACTTGTGGCAATGGAGCACCAATGTCCGTATGTCGGTCCATTCCATACATTTATACATGTGTCGTGGTCATCGCTAATGGTCCATACTGGAAATCTCATCTGTCCCTGCGTGGTTACGGAGCAGGTGGCTGTAACCAGTCTGTCTTCACTGTGGGTAAATGTGGACTAACATGATCTTCGTACAGGCTGCGTTCATGTGAAATAACAACGATCGAATGAGTCCGAGGTATAACGTAGAAGTCTGAAAGATGAGGTTTCTTTAAAAATAAAAACCTCTTGACATCAAAACTTTTTTCCACTTTATTCGAGGCCGGAGTCTTGAGGAAGCAGTTAGAGCTAATATTCCCAGACGTTTCTCTCTACGCACTTCCAGATATTGTAGAAAATCACCAACTTCAGCAGAGACCTCTCAATGTGGAGGAGCAGCGACTTTGCTTAGAGCTCTTCCCCATTGAAATGACTCTATGGGAACACTATCTAATAAATATGAGAAGGGTTAGGGTTAACGACCTCATATTGTGAACGCAGCCTGTTGGACCCAGCATCACTCACTCCTGTCCATGTAACACAAGTCTTGGTGTAAGTCTTGGTGGTCGTTTGTGGCGGTGGTGGTGGCGGAGGAGGAGTGTCCAGTGTGTGTCAATGTTCACTTTTCTCACACTTCTCCGCTGCCGCCAGAACCCGGTGGAGACGGAGCCGGCCTGGTCATCGAGCCAATAATCATTGAGGGTATGCTTTTTATTTTCACATTTTCCTAGGTGTGAAAAAAGAAGACCTCTTGATCCCACAGATACTAGACATAGAGCAGAGAAGGAATGGACTAACCTAACTTTAGCGCTTTTCACCCTAAGTGTCAAGAGCTAAAGCTAACTCAAACAGCCTCATTGGATGGGAATCCGGAATGTGTGGGTAGCAACAAAATAGCAACCAAAGAGTGGTGCTGGTTTGTTCCTTATCACAATACTTTTTTAATGTATTTTTAATGTAACTTATTTTAGTTGCTTACATTCTTATGTTGGCTCAATGCTTCAAATTGCAATGGATTTACAAAGATAATATAAAAACAAAAACTCAAAGATCATAGAGAGTGCTAAACTACACATTTGTAAACCCAAAATGGTAAGTGCAACACAAACGGTTACGATGGAGGTTACTTTTGAAGTTTTGCTGCTACTTTGGCTCCACCAAAGTAGCAGCAAAACTTTGTCCCTGATCACTTCCCTTGTTGGCTTCCAAGAGCTCGCATGTTAGCATTGTCCATATATATATACAGATCATACAAATAGCTTTGGTTAACTTTTGGGAACGTGAAATGGTCTGTAATCTGGTGGGAAGAGGTCTGCATAACTGATCAGTCTCCAAAGGGTATCTCAGATCCAAGGGGTATCTCAGATCCAAAGGGTATTCCATATCCAAGGGGTATTCCAAATCCAAAGTGTATATCACCAGTACAAAAATCAAATGTCTTTTCATTGTTCTTAAATTAGTATGTTGAATTTGACCTGTTATGCCAATAAACTAATATCTTTACAGGTAAATAACGATTAATTTTGTCTTCAATGCATCTAAAATCAGTTTTCTCTTCCAGGCCCAGACTTTTCAAAAATCACTACGATCCACGGGAATCCGGATTTGATTGAGGAGGAGTCAGAACGCATCACCAAAATCATTAAAGGTTTCTTTGATTTTGATGATTTACTACCACACTGACAGCGTTCACTTTTTACATGCCATATTTGTGCTTTTTTGCAGGAGGCAGATACGCAGCTGTCAAGAGAGCTCAGAGTAAGAGAGGCCACCATTAGCACTGTTTATTGACATAGAGAAAAACATTACCAATGACTGATTTGTATTGCTATTCGTGGTACTTTGGATCACCAGACATCCATAAGTCAATATTTATTTGTAAAGCACATTTAAAAAAACAGCCGAGCTTTACCAAAGTGCGGTGGAGATACAGTACAAGAAAAAGACTTACAAATACAAAAAATATCAGAATCAGAATATCTTGTATTGCCATGTAAGTAACAGGAAGACACAGACGAGGAAATTGCTTTGGCTCAGTGCAACAGTCAGAAAAGAGAGGTAAAGAATTGAGTAAGGCATAATAAAAATCAGCAAACACTTCTAAGGTATAGAAATTAAAATTATTACAATTACAATTACTATATACAATATACAAGTGCATATGGTGCACACTATATGCAGTAAGCAGTGCAATAAGGTGACAGCAGTAAAGTGACTTTATAAAGGGCCGGAGGACAGGCTATGGAAGTGGCGCCTGAAGCTAGTTCCGACGTCTTGTTCTCCTCAAAGCTAACACACCTGCTGACCTCCAGAGACCACTTGCGTGCATATTTTGTATAGAGGCATGACATAATTTTGAGTCGGTGATGTTTGCCAACTAGTGGCAGGAATTTGAATTAATTTTGACACGGTCAGAACGGGGCCTTTCAATGTGGAGTTTGCATGTTCTACCACTAAAAACATGTACAATAGGTCTGGAATGTCCCTCCTAAAGGTGACATTGCTCCCATCTCTGTGTGGAGTGAGAGACAAATGCCCACAATAATTGTGAAGTGCTTTGTGAGTCTGGTCTGTGAAAGGCTCTATATAAATATAGATTTCTTACTTACTTACTTACACCCTGTTTGACACAACCGGCCGTTAAAAATCGTACTGCATCTTGTTGACTTCAGAGGCTTTTGGATGAAGACACCAGACGAGGATGAGCCAAATCAGCTGAGTCTTGTTTTTCTAATGTCTTGTCGCTCATCCACAGTGGGAGCGCGGCGGAGAGCGAGAGCCAGACGTAACAAACCCAAGGCGTGAATCTGAACACAGACTGACTCTCGGTGCTCCCGGCTGAGCACCCACCGTTTATCCAGATCTACGCCTCTCACTGCTGCTTCCTGCGCCGCTCCTGGGACCACAGTGGATCCATGACTAATTACAGGACTTTATTATGCTTCTGCCTGCTATAGGGACGGGACAGTCACCGTATATTGTAAAACCGTCAGGATGGACTTTTCTGACAGATTGACGGAGCTCCTTTGTTTGACTTTGTGGGGGAAAATCAGGAAATTACAACTTTGGTTCCATTAAATCTGTCCTCCACACACATGTACTCTTCATGGTATGATGTCGTTATGGTCATGTGACTCGATAGATCAATTTTCTATGCAAAATGTCTGCTTTTGTTGATATTTTTGGCCTCATTCACAAAGTAATTAGGTCCCAGATATCACAGGGAGACAACAAATGTGTGATGATTTCATTTAACCAGCAAACTACAAAATGTCTGCTTTAAAACTCAGTATTTTTGAGCAGTTGCAAATGTAAAACAAGTGATAACATTTATTTCACTATTTTTTCTTCCGCCGTTCTACAGCAGCAGTGATGGACAGTGTGACAGTGCACTGCAAACAAGTGGTGAAAAATAAGTCAAAAATTACTGAAATTTGGCAAAATGTTTCTTCATCTGAGCACATTCTGACTGAGCCTGGAAACAAGATTTACCAAAGGGGCAAAAACTAAAAATATTGTGTTTTAAAAAGATGCAAGATTTTTGTATATACATTTTATTGTTATACATATATATATATTTTTTTTTCAATGTTCATTTTTTTCTCTGTTTTCTTTTTTTAATATCTATATAATATTATCATATTTTTATTTTTTATATTAAAAAAAATTCTGGCGTGACAGTGGCTGAGTTGGTAGAGCATTGGACTTTGAACCTGAAGGTTGTGGGTTCGAGCCTGCTATAGCGAACTACAGCATAACTCCCACTGATGTCTGCTGGCGTTGTGTCCTTGGCCAAGACACTTAAAAATCCCACTTTGCCTGAATCCCCCGCTGGAAGATCGGGACTCCTGTCGACTCATCACCTGCAGGAAGATCAATGAGGGGCTGGTGCTCTGGGAATTGAGTGCCCCCCTGACCCAGGAGTGGATTAAGGGGAAGAAAATGTATGGATGTAATCTTTTCTTTGCATTATAACTGTTTCCTTGCTATGTTTTTGAATTATGATTTTTTTTTGCAAATGTGAAACAAGTGATAACATTTATTTGTTATGTTTTCTCAAAAGCTCAAAAAAAAATTGTTAAAAAAAGATACAAGAAATGTATCAAGAAAATAACGCAACAGTTCTGGAAGACTTTGTCCCTTTGGAGAATCTTGTTTTAAGGTAAGATCAAAATAAAAACCCACTTGATTCCAGGAGTTTTGACGTCATATTTGATCTCTCTGTCTGACGGAGAGAGGCTGCATGAGGAATACTTTACCACTAAGACCTATTGTTAATATTGTGTGTTTTCTGCATTTGTGTAGACGTTACTGTGTGTGTGTGTGTTGTATGTGGTGCTCTCGGCCAAATTCGTCTCAAACCAGTGTTGACTGAATCATGTTTCACCAAATTTTATGAACGTCTTTGTACAAACTGCTTTAAATGCTATGGTTTTGTTGTTTTACATCAAGAATAAAAAGAGAATTTAGTTCTTGCTGTTTCTTTGTGAGTTGTTTTAATTAAGTTAAAGACGACGGAACATGTTTCTGTCTGCTCTGTTTTTCTATAATCACTAAATACTAAATATGTCTCATATTATTCAATTATTCGTCTGTATTGATACTAACTCAGTTTACTCTACTTTACTTTACTCTAGTCTACTCTACTTTACTCTACTCTACTTTACTCTACTTTACTCTACTCTAGTCTACTCTACTTTACTCTACTCTACTCTACTCTAGTCTACTCTACTTTACTCTACTCTAGTCTACTCTACTTTACTCTACTCTACTCTACACTACTCTACACTAGTCTAGTCTACTCTACTCTACTCTTCTCTACACTAGTCTACTCTAGTCTACACTACTCTACTCTATTATACACTACTCTACTCTACACTACACTACTATACTGTACTTTGCACTACTCTACCCTACTATACACTACTCTACTTTGCTCTGCTCTACACTACTCTACACTAGTCTACTCTATTCTACACTACACTACTCTACTCTACACTAGTCTACTCGACACTACTCTACACTACTCTACACTACTCTACACTAGTCTACTCTACTCTGCTCTATTCTACACTACTCTACACTAGTCTACTCTTCTCTACTCTACTCTATTCTACACTACTCTACTCTACTTTGCACTACTCTACACTAGTCTACTCTATTCTACACTACTCTACTCTACTTTGCACTACTCTACACTAGTCTACTCTATTCTACTCTACTCTACTCTACACTACTCTACTCTTGTCTACTCTACTCTACTCTACTCTGTGCTTCTCTACAATTCTCTACACTACTCTACTCTACTTTGCACTACTCTACACTAGTCTACTCTATTCTACACTACTCTACTCTACTTTGCACTACTCTACACTAGTCTACTCTATTCTACTCTACTCTACTCTACTCTACACTACTCTACTCTAGTCTACTCTACTCTACTCTACTCTACTCTACTCTGCGCTTCTCTACAATTCTCTACACTACTCTTCTCTACACTACTCTACTCTACACTAGTCTACTCTACTCTACTCTACACTAGTCTACTCTTCTCTACTCTACTCTATTCTACACTACTCTACTCTACTTTGCACTACTCTACACTAGTCTACTCTATTCTACTCTACTCTACTCTACTCTACTCTATTCTACTCTACTCTACAATTCTCTACACTACTCTACTCTACTCTACACTAGTCTACTCTACTCTACTCTACTCTACACTAGTCTACTCTACTCTACAATTCTCTACACTACTCTTCTCTACACTAATCTACTGTACACTAGTCTACTCTACTCTACACTACTCTTCTCCTGCTGGTCGCTTGCACTGACGTTGGCGCGTCAGAGGAGAGAGGTGAGTTTGTGCAGAGTTGGTTGGCCTCGTGTCACTGAGATAACAAGGAGGTGAAAGGAGGTCGTAAAGTTTAATGAGGAGAACAAGCAGAGAATAAAACAAAGCAGAGAAAAAACTTAAAAGCATCGGACGAAAGATCAATTTTTCAGGTTCAGTTTAGTGAGAGTTGAATATGTTTGAGAGTCTTGGTCCCTACACACTTTTTTATATCCAAACAAAAACAAAGTATAATAATAAAAATGATAGTAACATATTTCATTTCTTAGGCGCCTTTCAAAACAGTTTCAATCCATCTTCTGTCACATCTTTGGATCAGATTTGAAGTGGAACCCTCAACAGTGACTCACAGGGAAAAATACATAATGTTTTCTCATAGGATGCTGCAGTTCCAATATTATACATCAAACCCACACTGCAAAACGTGAAGAAAAATAAGTCAAAAATCTTAATTTAAGCATATTCCGACTGAGCCTTAAAACAAGATTTTTCAACAGGACAAAGCAAAAAAAGATACTAGAAATGTCTCCCTTGGAATAAGAAAATAAAGTTCTTGAAATAAGACTAAATGGCTTCATCCAATTGGAGAATCTTGTCACAATTAACTGAAATTAAGATTAAATACACTTGATTCAAGCATTTATCACCTCATAATTGACCATTTTTTGCAGTGCGGACACATTGAGACTTTTTTACAAATGTACTGTGAGATGTTTCTGTAGCTGCACACAGGCCCGGAGGGGTATTGCAAGCATGTCAGCGCACGGGCTCATGAACCTTTTGGAGCTGGGACCTGCCCCCACTGGTCCCAAGAGTGAGGCAAGGTCAAGGCCCCTCTCATCTCGGTTGATGGTCCATGTGCCCCTCTTAAATCCATGTCTTGTATTTTTGTCAAGGCGACCTGAGGGAGATGGAACAGCAGAACCTTCACCTGGTGTCTCTTATCTACAGCTGATAAGATAACAGACCATTACGAGTGTCCTCAAACATGTAACTGAGCAGCACTCGCTTCTTTTCACTCTTTGTCTAAGGACCTTCAAAGCAAAGCAAGGAGGGTTTATTGGTATAGCACAGTTCACACATAAGGCAATTCAAAGTAGTGAACAAAACAAGACAATCACACAAGGCATTAGAATTAAAATCATAAAAAATCACAGAACATTAAAAAGAGTAAAGATAAAATCCTTTAGTTGTTGCAGCTAAACAAAAGTGTTGGACATGGTCAGGAGGCCAGTCCCTGTGCTCCTCAGAGTCCCAGCAGGAGGCAGATCCCTGTGCTCCTCAGAGTCCCAGCAGTAGGCCAGTCCCTGTGCTCCTCACAGTCCCTGTGCTCTAACATGTCACAGATGTACTTTGAGGCCATGGAGAGACTTGTAACAAATATAGCTGTTTTACAGTCTCTGAGCCACAGGAAGCAGAGACTTGAGAACAGGACTATTGTGATGGTACTTTCTGGTTCTACTCAGGACTCTTGCTGCAGAATTATTCATCATTCTATGCTGCAGCCTAAAGCTTAAGAATGCAACTATTTCTGCCAGTGGTGGGCTGTCAGGGCCTGCAAGGCCTTCTCTGCTGGCCTAAGAATTATCTGAATTACAGATTTTACATTTTTTATTAGTTATTGTTTTTACATTTATTATTCTTTTTTTCCATTAATAGCTACTTAACAAATAACTCCAAATGGTCTACTCGCCTCCTTTCATTGCTTTCCCACTGATTGCGCAGCTTCCAAACATGTATCATATATACAGCCTTCATCCAATCACAGTTCAGCCATTTGTTGCTAGGGTCAAAGAAATTTGCCTGGAGGCCTTCAGAATCAGTTCTGCGGAACCTGTAGCATAAAATAAGTGTCGATCAGATTGTTGCTTTAACCAATCAGATTTTGAGTTGACGACACCAAGGCCTCCTAGCAGACCTACGTAACATCAGCGTATTCCCACTCTTTGAT